TTTTTTTGGGACAGAGAGAGACAGAGCATGAACGGGGGAGGGGCAGAGAGAGAGGGAGACACAGAATTGGAAACAGGCTCCAGGCTCTGAGCCATCAGCCCAGAGCCCGACGCGGGGCTCGAACTCATGGACCGCGAGATCGTGACCTGGCTGAAGTCGGACGCTTAACCGACTGCGCCACCCAGGCGCCCCGATTTTTCTCACTTTAAATGAATATTTTTGAAATAACTTTTTTGTGAAAAAAATACTTTTTCAAAATAATCATTGAGTGAGAAGAGCAGCATTGTTTTACATTTTTGCAAATCTCACACCCAGCTTACAGGAAAGGAGCTGATTTCTCATATCTGCTTCTGCATTCTGCATTCTCATATTGTTTTGGTTAAACTATGTGAAGAAAATCTGGCCTCACATTGATATGTAGTTGAAAAAGAGAGGGGTATTTTTTTTTTAATGTTTTATTTATTTTTGAGACAGAGAGAGACAGCGCATGAGTGGGGTTGGGGCAGAGAGAGAGGGAGACACAGAATCTGAAGCAGGCTCCAGGCTCTGAGCTGTCAGCACAGAGCCCGACACGGGGCTCGAACTCACAAACCGTGAGATCATGACCTGAGCCCAAGTCGGTCACTCAACCGACTGAGTCACCCAGGCGCCCCAAGAGAGGGGTATTTTAATGATCATTTTAGATGTTCTTGTTACAAATACCAAAATTCAGCGGGTGGTAGTTTCTTAAAGGCTAGTTGCAACTTGAAATCCGATACCATATTAATGAACTTTTTGTACTGTGTTACATTAAAATCCACTGGTCTTTGACTCTTGCCCTTTGGATCACTTATGCGTGATCTTGTAACATCTGGCGCGGATCATTTAGAAAATACCGCTTCACTGACTTATGCAGATCTTTCAAATGTTTACACATTTTGTTATATACCGTTAAAAATAACATTTTCATCAATATCCCCACTGATCTCATCAGAAGAGTCTTTGAGTACTGGAAAGCTGTCAAGCCCACGGTACTAGATACAAGTGTTCGAAAAGCCATTGAAAAGCTCAAATTTTACCCTTGGTAACAAAAACTTGTTTCATGAAGTGACAGTCTCAGCTCGCATTTCAAGAAAACCAAGTCTGAACAACCCTAGTTTGTCAGTCACCCTTTGGTATTTTACAAGAAATGCAGCTAGCTCAGCTCAAACTAAAAGCAATGTTTTTCCTGGAGACAACCATCATAATATCAGTATGGAGTTCTTTACCCGTGCCTTCCACTGTTGCACAGAATATTGAAAAGATGTAGGAGCGCCTGGGTGGTTCAGTCGGTTAAGCGTCCGACTTCGGCTCAGGTCATGATCTCGCGGTCCATGAGTTCGAGCCCCGTGTCGGGCTCTGTGCTGATGGCTCAGAGCCTGAAGCCTGTTTCAGATTCTGTGTCTCCCTCTCTCTGACCCTCCCCTGTTCATGCTCTGTCTCTCCCTGTCTCAAAAATAAATTAAAAAACATTAAAAAAAATTTTTTTTAAAAAGATGTATACTCAAGGGTCAAGTTCTAATAAAAAGAATAATTTTTACCGCTTTATCAAGGACATTCTCAAGTGAGATTTTTTGTTTTGTTTTGTTCACCGTGAGCATATGGCAGGGAAAAGCACATTAACTACCAATACCATTTAGTGCCACAGCCTAGAGTCACACCAAGGCGCCAGGAGCTTTACCCACCATTGCTTTGCAAAATGTCAACAGTGATTTTCGTTCCTGTTTCAGGATTATTAAGAAAATCGTTTTGGGGAGCCTGAGTGGCTCGGTCG